TTTTCCTGCACATACTGCAGAGCCTGTAGAAAGCAACAAAAGATGTATTAAAACGTTAGCACAAAGAAACAATAATTCTCCAGATATATTTAAAAGGTTAAGCATATATCAGGAAATTTTACCTGGAGCGTTCTCATCGTCTCATCAACACTTCGGCCAATGGCAAGATTGTTGATGGTGGAGTGCTGGATGATTCCCTCTTTGTCAATAATGAAAAGTCCTCTCAATGCAATCCCCTGTATTGAAATAAAAAATATAAGATTTGTTTATATTATCAATAAATGTATATATTATGAGGGAAACTGCTACAATGAGAAAATATTAAATTTCACATTTTGCATGAAGAATTTGAAACACTCGGACTCAGAAGTGATCAGTAAGTTTCACTGAAAAATCTTTCAATGTCAATGAGAAATTGCTTATAACTGAAAAAAAGTAGGACTAGTTGTTCTCAGTAAATACCAAAAAAACATGTACATCCTTTCCACAAACAACGGATAACTGTACAGCTGATCTGTACTCCAGTACTTGAAAACATGTTTTTGAAAAGTGACCCTCCCAAACATATAGATGAAGTATGAAGATTTCATTCTGATTATGAGGCAATAATAACATCAACCTTGCTGTGCAAGATGATTGCTTCCAATGACTTCTTTACTGGAAATATGGTTTTTAACAATTAATTTTAACTTGGAACAGTTTGATCAGCGTCTGCTAACAATCTTGCTTAACATTCTTCAGACCACAACTTTCACCGAGCATTTTCACTCTCTTATCAGAACTTTTTATTAACAAACACGGTGAAAATTTATAAGCAGTCTTATGCAAAAGATGATGCATGAGACAGGGCAGTAATAATGATTAATAATCAAAACTTTTAATCCAATCAAATGATCCAGAGGACAGCCAGGACATAGGTAAATCCATCGTTAGGATAGAGGCTAACTGCTTTTTAGGGAGATATCTTACTGAAAATTTAGGTCATCTCATACCTGATCAGGGATCAAAACTCCAAAAGACTTTGAAATTGACTTGGTGACATCAGAAATCAATGGATAATTCAAATCACCAAGACCACCAGACTTCCTGTCAGTTTGGACCCATGCCAGATGCGAGAACTGTAAAATAACAGGAGACAATCAAGATTCATTAGTGATTCATATTTCAGATCCAATAGTTATCATGCAAGAGATAAACACTTCAAGTAAACATTTCAAATTCCAATTCATAATTCCTAAATAAAAAATCCTAAAACATGATAGCCATTAATAATCTTGACCATTATATGAATGAAACTAGTAACTTGCCATCGCCAATTACTTGCTCTGATCCAAAGGTAATAAATTATAGTTAGATAAAGTGATTATTGTTGATGTAAAGTAGACCAAATTTCTTCATGCATGTATAAATCTACTTTCTCTCTTTTCCTATTTCAAGCATTCTCCATTAGTACTTTGAGCTTTACTTTTTATCAGTTCCACTAGGTAAAATCAACTATAAACAAACACTAAAATACACACACAGAACATATAGATATGCTATTTTAAAACATACTTGCTTCATCAATTATATATATATACCTTAAGTAACAAAATTATCACACAAAAAAAAGGTCAGATACACGATGACCCTTTTGTCATATTATATGCATCTCTATTATATGCAAGCTATAACCAGTTCACTTGAATCGTTCAGAACAAAATATAAGCAATCAAAATCAAGCATATTGGAGAAAGCAAAGCATTAAAGCTAATAACTCCATTTCGTGTCAGGGCAACAAAGCATTATGGTTCTCAAGCTAAGGCAATTGATTTAGAGATGGCCACACATCACCAAAAATTTTCATTATATTAAGATACTGATGAGAACCCACTCCCAAAACTCAACAAAACAGTAAAATAATAACAGCCAACAGCCAAGAAATAGGAAGAAAATATATATGTGTATTGATACTCAACAAACTGATAAAATTGGCAGCAAACAACAAAATAACCCAGCACATCAACCCAAAAGGACAAAATCAGAATATGAAAGGGAAAGCAATGCTGGACTTTGAGGGCCAGCTCCTCCCTAATTGCTAACTTCAAGGGTTAGCTCCTCCCAAATTTCAATATATTCTTCTCTACCCTAATCTGCTCTCTCTCTCTGTCTCTCTTTTTATCCTCCAGCTCTCTCTCTCTCTCTCTCCCTAACTGAATTCCTTTGCTGTCCCAACCCCCAATCGCCACCTGTCCTAGCCTAAACCCATGGAAGTTTCCTGCCAACATCACCAAAATCCCCCTTCACAACCTTATGTTTCCTACAATAGACCAGCACACTAAGGATCTCATCAGATACACAAATAAATGAAAAAAGTCTGAAACCAAGGGAGAGATATAAATAGGAATGTGAGGAATATTCAGATAGGCAACTCATGATAAATCATACTGCTAGAGAGAACTATATGCACATAGCAAACCTCTTAATCAAACTAACATATAATTGCAGGAAGGCAGCACTTAAGTATTTGAAATCTTTTATAAGTAACTTACCACACTGTCAATTGAGACTCCCAATATCTCTGTGTTTAGCTTCTCAAACTCTGCATGACGGTCACTGAAGGCAGTGATCTCTGCAAGGAATAAATACATAACAATAAGAAAATTTCAACTTCCACTGTCATCTAACTTCAGCTTTAATCAGTTCAAACTTAAACTAACCTGTAGGACAAACAAATGTGAAGTCCAAAGGATAGAAAAATAGAATTACATATTTCTTCCCAATGTACTCTGAAAGTTTGACCTGAATTGACAATGCATCAGTTAGGAAAGAACAAACATATACAATTAATGATATGTATTCGCCACATAAATCCAATTCACTACAGGATATCACTTTTCACATAGAAGTCGAATACATTAAAAATGCCAGTTAGATGTTAGAACATTCTTCTAACCGTGATAAACTCCTGATCGAAAACAGCCTCTGCTTCAAAATCGGGTGCCTTGTTTCCAACCAATGGTGCATCGCCCTGCAAAAAGAGACAAGAAGCAACATAATCAGAAGGTAAATCAATGTCATACAAGTAACTGTACAATCTTAAATCCTGCATCAGACATCTTCTCCCCAGGCAGATCTCACGAATTATATCAAACATTCATTTTCACATACATTACTAATATTATTAATTAAAATTACACTTATACACTGGCTACAGCATTTCTTGAAACCATGTAAGAATACAAATGCAAAAAACTTACCCAGTTCAAGCATTATAAAGTATACAAAAGCGCATTAACTGATTAAAAATAAATGCCCAATTCAAACGGGTTTCAACCAAACCTAAACTAGCATACAAACATTGTTAAACACAAACAAAAAATTACAATTTAAAGATTCCACAACTCTAAAAATTAAAACTTCTCAAGTTATATGGAACGTTTATTTTCGCATACATTACTCATATTAGCAATTAAGATTACATTTATGCACTGAATACTGCATTTCCTGAAACCATGTGATATTAAGAATGCAAAAAATTTACCCATTTCAAGCACTATAAAGCATACAAGAGGGCATTAAATGATTAAAACAAAATGTCTAATTCAAATGAGCATAAGCCAACCTAAACTAACATACAAGCATTGCTAAATACAAACAAAAATTTATAATTTAAAGATTCCACAACTTTAAAAATTGAAACTTTACACTCTCTATCCAATTCATTGAACAAACCGAACATTAAAAAACAAAAGTGAAATCACACTAACCAAAAAAAAAAAACAAAAAACACCCAGAAAGAAACAGACTTACGCTTGCTTTGACAACGAAGGACCTTCTGGAATGGGACCCACGGGAGAAGGAGAGGGATCGTGGGACCCGGGCGGAGCGTAGGGGTTGACGGAGGCCGGAGAAGGAGCGAGGGATAGTTAGGATTTGAGAAGAAGAGGAAGAGGGGAAGAGAGCCCTGGTGGGGTTTGAGGCCATGAAAGAGGCGGCGGCGGTGGTGGCAGCAGAGCAAGCCATTGAAGCAGAGAGTGAGGTAGGTGAGGAGCGAGTCTTGGGTGGAGAAATGAAACGTTGGACGACTAAGAGGATAAGTAAGGGGTTTTGGTTATGGTGGCAGTGGATGAATGGTGGATGGTGGATGGATTTTCAGGTTTTATTGGGGTTACCGGCTCCACACATTTGGGGTTACCGGAAATCTAGGTTACCTTAGTTTTTCTGTATTATAGAATATTCTACATTATATATTAAAAATAATACATAAATTTATGGTTTATTCAACCTTATAAAATTAATTAATATTAAACGTATTTATAAACGAAAAATATTATATACTTTTACAATTATTAGAGATGCTCTAAAATATTATAAAAAAAAAAGGCTTATTAGTAGAAACTCCCTATAGTTACTGATAATTGTCTTTTAAATAATAATTAACTTTAAAAACAATTTATGAGGTGTTTATTTTATTTTAAAATTACTTTTGATTATAGGGAATTAGATATTACCAATTAAAAATACCTATTAAAAAATCATATCATTCTTAATATTAAACCTCTTAAAGTTTAATTTCATATATTAAAGAGTCTAAAATTTTTAAAAGTTGATTTAGGAGTTTAATTAAACTAACGATAAATAAGTTAACATCACAAGTACAACATTGTGTTTACCAACCATCAATCTATGCAACGGTTTGCGTTGTCTTCTTCAATTGTATTTTGAAGACAGCAAAAATGAAAATAAATTTTAGAATTTTTATTTTATTTTATGAATAAATCCTAATAATTAATCTATATTAAATATTACAATTTATTCATAAAAAACACACATCATAAATGATATTATAGTTTGGAATGAGCAACAATCCATGAGCCAGGCCCACTTAATATATTCCCAAATAAATTTGCCCAAAGCCCAGAGAACCTGGGCTTAGCCTTCGTCTCTTTCTCAAGAACGCAGACAACATTTTATCTAAAAATTCTTGAACCCTCTTCAGATTTTCAAGATAGCACAACTCTTATCCTTTACTCATTCCTCTCTGGCTCTCTCCTCATATTCCCTCCCAACCATAAAACCAAAAACGAAAACATAAAAACAAAAACAAAACTTCTTCACCATTGACCATGTAGTAGCATGGCAATGCAGGAAACACTTTCCTCTCCATTTTCTCACCCTAAACTCCATTTTCCCTCCACCCACCATCATTTTCCCTCCCTTTCTCGCCCCAGAAACCTCCGTTTTCCCTCTTTTTCTTCTAAAACAATCACTCCTCTTCCATTTATACCTCCCAAATTCACACAAATTCCATCTATGCCGCCACCGCCACCCCCACCCATACAAACACAACAACCTCCACCCCATGACTCGGACTCCCCTTCTGAATTCCAAGAAAAAATGCTCTATCTTGACTCCATAGGCCTCGATTCTTTCCAACTAATCAACGATCATCCTTCCATCATCAAAACTTCTCTCTTCGACATCAAATCGACCGTTGATTTACTCATATCTATCAACCTCACTACATTCGAGTTCCGCCGAATCATCTCCATCTGTCTCCTAATTTTAACCACCAATACCTCAGATATCCTCCCAATCTTCACGTTTCTCCTCCGCGAAGCCAAAGTGAACGGCACTGATTTGAATAGAGTCATCAACCGACGGCCCAGATTGCTTCTCTGCAGCGTCAAATCCCGCTTGCGTCCCACCCTATATTTCCTACAAAGCATCGGAATCGCCGAGGTAAACAAACACACCTACTTACTTTCCTGTAGCGTTGAAGAGAAACTCATTCCTCGTTTAGATTACTTTCAAAAAATCGGCTTCTCACGGCGCGAAACGACGGCTATGTTCCGTCGTTTCCCTCAGCTGTTTAATTACAGTGTTCAGGAAAATTACGAGCCGAAATTGAATTACTTTGTGGTGGAAATGGGGAGGGATTTGAAAGAATTGAAAGATTTTCCACAGTATTTCTCTTTTAGTTTGGAGAATAGGATTAAGCCGAGACACCAAGCTTGTCTAGAGAAAGGGGCTTATTTTCCGCTGAATGTATTATTAAGAACAAGTGAGGAACAGTTTCGTCATAGATTGGAGGTGTGTTGTAATACTTCTTTGCCGTTAAAAACTTCGCCTTTGTCGTTATAAAATGTGATATTGATTCAATATAGAGTATATTTATTGTTGTTATATTTTGTGTTATTGAGCTGTTTTGATTAGCGATTCTTTTACAAATTTTCTGCTGCAATGGAAAATTAGAGTAAAAGCTTGAAAAGTTTTGTGATCTGATTCAAAACTTGAGTTTGCTTGTGGTGTAAACTTAGTTATAACGAGGTGAATTTTCATTTGATGAAGAATTTACAGGAACATTGTTGAACGGAGATTATGATCAGTTCATGTTGAGTTATACCACCAAATGAGAGATGGGTGCATTGTGTTTTTCACTTGATAGTTTTAATTATGTAGGGTTGGTTTTTTTTGCGATTGGTTTCATCTAAAGACCAATCAAGTCTATTTCTTGATGTAGGATTTGTTCATTAAGCGTAGACAGTAGTGCAGTTCTTCCAAGTTAGCTAATGTCATTGCCTCTTTAATGAGGTTACTCTTTGCTTTGAATTGCAGACGTCTTTACCCTATTGATTTTTCAGGCTAGTATCTTGTGGACTCTTGGGTTGCACTTCTGATGCACTATGCTCTCATGGGGAATATTGCCTTAAGTTTTTTTTTTTTTTTTTTAGCTGGCCATAGACATTGTAGAGCCATTTCTGCAATTTAGGTGATACGATAAGCATATTTAAGGAGATGGTCTCTAAATGAACTCTTTTGAAGCAAAAGATTTTGTAGAGTCATTTAGACAGGATGGTCTGTCGCTCAATTGGAAGCATGAGTGATATTTAACAGTAGAAAAATCATTGAAAAGCTGCATTTAGGCCAATCCACGTTAGGTGTTTGAAGCCCCCTAAGCATGCTTTGCTTCGCCTGGAGTGTCAGTCTGCTCTTTGTAATCTCGGTTGACATTGTTATATCTTTTATAAGATCCTCTACTGATTCAAAATCTGATGAAACCTTCCATTGCAACCTTCTCTATCTTTTTCGTGCCATTTCACATTAAGTGCTTGCCGCATAAAACCCAGTAGCTTTAATCTCACATGCCATGCATGTTGTATTGCTATCATGCTTAGATTTTACAACTCATTTTTGCGATAGTCAATTCTGTACTTTAACCCAGAAAAGCCTATTGAGTTCCATGGTCACAGCAAGTACTTGACTCAGTGAACCATGACAGTTGGAAAGGCTTATATATTTTGAGCTGGAATTTTATGGAAATAAATTGAAGTCGAAGATGTGGTAATCACACATGATTGTGATATATAAAGGAATGATTTAGTTGTCTTACAGATCAAAATACCAAAAAAGAAAAGAGACATAAAATCAAAATACCAAATGCATTTTATATTTAAAATCTAGGAATTTGACAGCCCCATCCTCCTTTTGTTACATGGTGTTTTTCATATTTACTTAATTTAGTCAAAGCAAAATCTTTTGTTCTTTCTATCAATTTGATGAATGAGAGTGTGTGATATATCAATACATACATATTGCATAAATAATTTCAAAATCAATAACTATATTATATTTTTAAAATATACAACCCTAGAATAACTTTTATCCATTGAGCATTTACCATTTTACTCAACATCATCAAATCATTAAAATCGACTTTGTCCCCATACTTTGAGTTTGCACTCGGAGATCATTTTTTGTCTTATCGAATAAACCTTTGCACACCTCAATTACCATTTAATCAGCCCAAGCTCCATAGAAATTGTTTATGTATGTTTGTGACGGCTACAATGGCCTGTTGTCGGCTATTGATAAGACGAACAAGGGGGTGTGATGGGTTTGGATCAGGAGGCTAAGGGGAGTATTATCGTGGAGGTGGAGAGTGTTGTCGACTTTAGAAATATGCCTACTTTGGCTTGAGTTGTTGACACTAGTAATGGTGTGGCTTGATTTTGGCCATATCTTGGGAAGATTTGTGGGGAATGGCTCAAACGATGAGTGGGATCTGCATTTGGTATGTCGCCACCGCCAACTAGTTGACCGTCGATTTGCATTTGGGGTGTGTTTGCTATATTTCAAACTATAAGATTGAAGAAAATTTGTCAAGGGTTTGTTTGCTAATATTTCAAACCTTTGGTCATCGGTTTGACCTATTAGTCAAACTAGTTAATCCGGTCAACTCGAGACTCGACCACTTTGCATGGTTTCACCCCGAATTAGTTTTTAAAACATTGCCATGGACATGATTTCTAGTAAATATTCGATATTTTTCTTTAAACGGCCATGGTTTAAATTTGGTATTTGCCACTTGTCATGCATTTAAAAGCGTAGCACCAACTTTGCATGTTGCGTGGTCCCCTAAATTTTTGTGCTTAGGGTTTTAATTGGACATGATTAAAAAGGAAGGCGATGAATAAGTGCCAAATAATCGTACGTGCGTAAGACAAGAAAGGCGCGTATTCGCCGATTCCATCATTTAATTTCCCCCCCTTTTTTTTTTTTTGTTTTTTTATCCAACTTTTTCTATTAGCATTTTGTGAAAATAACCCAAACTTTTTGTTTTTTGAAATTGTTTTCTAAAACATTGTTTTTTTATAAAAATATCACAAACAAGATAATTTTGTTGCAGCCATACCCCTGAATAATAAACCCGTATATTTTACTTTCTTTAAGAGAAAAAGAAAAAAAACAATTACATAAAGAATTGTTATTGCTTAGTTGAAATTTGAAACTAATCATGTTCTTGTTAAAGTTTAGTAATCTTTAATTTTTAGATATTCTTTTTATCGAGGTTTTGGTGCCATTTTAACAAGAAATATATAGATTTTAAATAGAGTTACTTTAACTTAAAATTTTGACACGAAGTTCTAAATATTAGTTCTATTCAAATTTCAATATAAATTATTTAATACATAAAGTTTAAAACACAATATTTAATATTATCCACTTGACACACTTTTGGATTCAAGTAGATTAACACATCAAAATTAATGTAAAATAAACCAAAAATTGAAGTAAAAATATTTAAGCATTTATTGCCCTTATAATGCTTGGATATATAATTGTAAACTAATTCATGAAAAATTTAGAGTGAAATGATTTGAAAACTTATGAAATATATTATTAAGTTATCACACCATTTAAACAAAACAAAAATGACTTATTATACAATTTAATTCATCATATATTTAATATTTCCTATATAATTTAAAATTTTAGTGTTTAATATGTATTCTAAAAACACATGTAGAAAATATTAAATATAAATTTATGATATAGAAAGTTAAAATAAATCATTAAACTAAATTACTTCTATTTACATATTTAACATTTATTATATATCATTTTTAACAGTCTTAGCGCTTAAACATTTTGGGACTGTTTGATATAAAATTTAAATATATTTTTTGTTTTTAAAAATAAAAAATACAATAAATCTTATGAAAATGCTTTTAGTAGAAATAAGTTGAATAGTTTTCAAAAACACTTTTGGAATATAGTCATAAAAACTAGTATAAAATAAAAAAAAATTAATCATTTTATAATCTTATATAGTTTTTAATTTGAAAACAATTTGTATTAAAAATATTAACATACTAATTCGATATTTTTTAATTGTATTTTAATTTAAAAAATTAATTTTTAATGACAAATCAAACATACCCTTAGCAAAATCAAATAAATATAGATGAAGTATTTAGAAGAAAAAAGAAAAAATAGAGGTGGCTACACAATTTCACAAACAAAAGGGCAAAAAATAATAATAATAATAATAATTAATTAATTTTAATAAATTTGGGCAAAACTTCCCTCCACATCCATCCGAACTAAAATTCCCTCCTTCCCTCGTTTTCTTCTGTTCTTCATCTTGTTTACTTCACTTCTTTTTTTCTCTTTCAGATCTCATTTCCTTTCATTTCAACTCATTTTTCTTCATTTCTTTTTTTTTTAAATTGTCTTTTCTTTTATTTTCTTCTCGTAATTTCTCCGTCCATGACCGGCGCCGCTGCTCGAGCCTCCACTCGCCCGGCGCCGCGGCCGCACCATCCGCCGCCCGCAGCCGCGCCGATCGTTCCGCCAATAAGGCGCCACTTGGCCTTCGTCACCACCAAACCTCCGTTTGGTTTTTCCGATGATTACCATCACTTCTCCTCTTCTGCCGCAACTACTCGCCGAGCCGACGATCACGAACCTGAAGCTATTGTTGTTAGATCTCCTGTTAGTTTTTTTTTTTTTTCTTTTAACTTGTATTTATTTTAGTGATCTTTTTGTTGTAATTCTAAAAGAATTTGGATTTTTTTTTCCTTAAATAATTGTTTTGTTTGACTTTTGTGAATGCATTGTTGCGTTTATACTCGATTTTTTTAACAGTAAGTTTAAATTAAGTTGTGGCTTGTTTGTGTTTTACTTGATTATGAAGTAATCGCTGTTTAATTTGCTTTGATTATTAGGGTTTTTTTTGCTTGATGACACATTTAAATTCAGTTCAGTTTAGCGTTTTTGTTTGCTGAATTGCTTAAACTACTGTGCAATGAGTAATCTAAGTGTTGTTATATCGTTATGTGCCGTGCCTAGGATTAAGTTCATGTGTAAGATTCTACATTGCTAGTGTGAGAACTGCTAAATAAACATGAGGCCTTCTGATTTAAAAATTTGAGAGCAAAAGCCTGAGGAGCGTGTTGCCATCTTGTTTGGTGAGACCAGGTTATTAAAGTTTTTATGTGGTGCCTTGAATAATTCAAGGTTAAGATTGGATGTTTTTTCGTATTTGTTGATTGTGTTGGTATGCTTGTATGTTTCTGTGGATTTTGTAACTATGATGTGGGGCTGCGATAAATGATAGTGTAATATGGACATAATATTAGTGATCATACAATTGCCGTTATCTATGTGATTTAACAGCAAATAAATTATTAAGTTGGAACACTTGTGTTTAATAAGCTTTACGCGTGAAGTCGACAGCACATAGGGTTTAAAGTAGAGATGTTTTACTAGTTTGTTGTCTACTTTGTTAGCTTCCTGTTTTTAATTAATCTGGGATCCTGCTTATGTTTCTCAGCAAGTAAAGAGGAAGAATGGAATGAATGACAATGAGGCTGAATTCGGTGATTGGGCTAGCAGTCCTGGATTCGCTAACTTGTCCATCTGTCCCTTCCAGACTCCTGTATCAGCAAAAGGGGCAAGGGTAAACAACAGGGTAAAGGCCACGAAGGGCAATAGATCAACTCCTCAGACTCCTATGTCAAATGGTGGTGAGAAACTTTATGTGTTGTCATTTTAGGATCCTCTGATTTGAGCTTTCTAAGAGATTAACCAAATTAGATGGTGTAAATTAAATATGCTTTACTACAGAAAAAATGGGTTTTAAGCTGAATTACAAGTACTTTAACAACCAGCATCAAGGGGTGAAAAACTATAAGTAGTTTATGTCAACTTGCAGGTTCCCCATCTACTCCTACTCCAGCTGGCAACTGCCGTTATGACAGTTCCCTAGGTAATCCTGAAAGTCTTGGCATTTATGACAGAATTCTTTATATTCCATATTAGCTACTTATGTATCTCTGAACCTGTTATCTATTGCAAGGCTGACAATATATTGCTTGAACTTCCAGGGCTCCTGACAAAAAAATTCATTAATCTCATTAAGCATGCTGAAGATGGTATGCTTGACCTGAACAAAGCTGCAGAAACTTTAGAGGTGAGCATCCAGCTCATTAATCATGAATAATGCTGGCTTCTTTAATGTACTTATTGATGGTCGTTTCTGTTGTGGATTAACATAGGTGCAAAAGAGGCGGATATATGACATAACAAATGTCTTGGAAGGAATTGGTCTTATTGAGAAGAAGCTCAAGAACAGAATACGTTGGAAGTAATTATAAGAATTTGATGTTATTTTTCTTGTATTTTAATTTGATCTAAGACATGGGAACTTATTCAAGAATCAATCAAATTGACTAGGGGAATTGATAATTCAACAACAGGGGAGTCGGATGGTGATGCCTCCATTTTACAGGTATGTGAAAGTAGATATTCATATTTTGACATGCAGACAATGGCAACTACTTTTTTTTTTTTTCCTATCATTATTATTATTGTTTAGAATTTTCTGTGTTCCTTTATCTCATTTTGCAAATTTGTACAGAATATCCTGCATTTCTGACTCATCTACCACCTCATTTTTTGTAACATAATAGGGGGAACCAGAAAATGAAAGAAAAAGAGCTTTATTTTAGTGGCTTTTCAAGATTGACAGGTTTTTATTTGATTGTCTTTTAATGCAGGCTGAAGTTGAAAGTCTTTCCCTGGAAGAGCGCAGATTAGATGACCAAATTATGTGGGTTATTCTCTTGCTAGAGTGGTAACTTTCGCTATACTGGATTTTTATAATAGTGTTGATTCTTCAACTGTTGCAGGGAAATGCAAGAAAGATTGAGGGGTTTGAGTGAAAATGAAAACAATCAAAAGTAAATCCTCTTCCTCACCATGTGCCCTGGTCCTGTTAATTGCACTTGTGTTTACATGCACAGATAACATTTTCTTTCCTCTATAACTATTCCAGGTGGCTTTTTGTGAGTGAAGAAGATATCAAGAACATACCCCGTTTCATGGTTAGTCTTTTTTTTCCTTTGCTACATCATATTGGATGCTTTTATAACCATATTCTAGTTTGGGACTAGTGTCAAAGTTGTTTAGCTTATCTGAAACTTGACATGTTTTCATCAACTCCGGCAGAATGAAACCCTTATTGCAATCAAAGCTCCCCACGGAACTACACTTGAAGTCCCTGATCCTGATGAAGTGAGTTAAGAGCTGAAAGTTTAAGAGGAATTAGTGTCATTTACTATCATGATGTAACTAATGCATGTGTCATTGCTGTACGACAGGCTGTTGAATACCCACAGAGGAGATACCGGATAATTCTTAGAAGTACAATGGGTCCTATTGATGTATACCTTATTAGGTAATTTTGCAATCCAGTCAGGCTGAGATTTCTGCATGCTCTTAATGACTTCTCTTTGATCTTTCATGATATTTAATTACATTGATTGCTGGATGATTTACAGCTTGAGATCCTTTCCTGTTTATTTGTTTTTCCTGAGTCATCCTTTTCTTTTTTGGTGCTCTCCAGTCAATTTGAGGAGAAGTTTGAGGAGATGAATAGTGCTGAGCCACCTGTAAGCTTCCCACCTGCTTCCAGTTCAGAGTTTAATGAAAACCAAGTGAGGGAGATGGTCCCTGTGGAGAGCAGTGGAAATGAAATTGAACCTCAGGCACAACAAGCTCATCAAGGGTGCTCTGATCTTAATTCTTCACAGGATATTGTTGGGGGAATGATGAAGATTGTTCCTTCAGATGTTGATGTAAGTGCAATTACAGTTAGTAATCCTTACAGCTTTCTTGTAAAGAAATTGTTGATTTATGAGAGCAATATTCAGTTTCTGTCAGAAATTATTTACAATTTCAGTAATGAGGAACCAGATACCATTTAAAGGTTCAAGTTTCGATTGAGTTGGGAAATGTCCTTCACATGGCATTGCATCTGAGGCTCAGATATGAAATAGATTTCAAGCTAAGTAGTCAAAAGCCTGGACATCTTCAGATAAACGAAGATGCACCCTAAGATGGTGACATTGAGATTCTGTCATATCTACTAGGTGTAACTTAGTAATTTTGTCTTTTGATCTAAATTCTCATGTTGGTTTCTAACATTTTTATATGCCAACCAGGGATCTGATTGCCTAATTCATTTGGTTTAATCTTAATTCGTTTGCGGGAGAATATCTTGTTTGTAACTCATCTCTCAATACATTTCAATTTCTCAAAATACTCGTAAACTATCAGTAACAGAACTAAGATACATGGAGTTCTGAACATATTCTAGATCTTTTAAACCTCATACATCACAATGAATGAAAGATATGTTATTCTACTGTGTTATTTTTCTTCTCCAATGCTTAGATCACTCTGACATACATGTCTCATTGTTGTTGCAGAATGATGCCGACTATTGGCTTCTATCAGATGCTGATGTTAGTATCACAGATATATGGAAGACAGACTGTATCCTTCATCTAATATATTGCTCCTTTCTTTTATCTATGGTCCCTTCCCTCCCATACCTTCCTCTTATTAACCTTCATTCAGTTCAAAAAACAATTGTTGAATCCTTAATTCCTTAACTAGCAGGTGTTGAATGGGGCGGAGTAAATATGTTGCATGCTGATTTCGAAATGTCTGATGTCTCTACTCCTAGGGCACAAACTCCACCATCTAGGATTTCTGAAGTGCCATCTTCTGATGTTAACAATACCATAAGATGATATTTTATATATCTAATAAGCTAAATGCGGAGACTTGTCCAGTAATGTACCATGTCTACCAGTTAAGAATACTAACGAGTGAACAACGTACAACTCGGGAATTTGTGGAAGAAGTTGACAGATGAACAGGAGATTATCGCTGTGCCTGTACTGCATAGCTGAGTAAATTTTTTGACCCATGGTTTAGTATAAATAAACTTTATTTGTGGAATAGTAAACAACATTTTTTATGTAGGTAGCACCTTCGATTCTGTTATTTGAAATATGAAAGGCAGTGATATCTAAATGTTGTGATGCAGATAAGCTGGGTAATCAGGTCATTAAAATTTCTGGCCTGGATTGCTCTGATGTATGATATTGAAAGTTAAATCATTGGTATATTCTTTGATGTAAGAATTTGACTTACCATTAAGGTGTTATAGATTAGAGCTGATCTTTTAGCGTTGTTCTATCCTCTTAACTCAAACTGCATATTACATTTTCAACAGTGGCTGTTGTTTGATCTCGTGTCAATTTTGGAAGGTGAAGTTCTCAAATTTAAGTTTTTCAATTATCCCTGTAGAAGATTCCAGAGTTAAAACTTTAATTACAGTTAGTTGTGGAATTGGAATTGCTTGTTAGACTTGATTAAATCAAGGTGGGAGTTACTGTTAGATAGAAAGCCTTCTTTAAATTAGGGATGACACAAAAACCTGAAGGGATTGGTCCGATTGGATGCTTGAAAAACATCGGTCCTGTTTGGGTGGGATGGGAAAAGTATACCCTGAAATCAAGGATCGGGACACTGGTGGGAAAGCAGAAAACCCTCGAATTCCTTCCTCGTAAAAATGTATAATTTAAAAAAATATATATTTCACTTAAAAAAATAAAAAAAGGCCAAGGTTCAAGGATTTTTCAGTATGGGGTCGGGACTAGGGATAGATATTGCTTTCCTCTACAAGGGAGACGCGCCTCTGCCCCCGCTCCCAAAAATTTGACGATGGCATTGGGTCGAAGGGGATTAGGGAATACATCTTAACACGGATGGGGCCGGAGATGAAGGTCCTTGATTTCGTCGTCGGAATTGCGAACGTCATTTTAAATGTCAATTTCACTACTTATTATTCCGAAATTAATGCATGAACTCATTTTTTCTGCAAGCAATTTGTACTAGCTATTTTTCTAGGCCACAAAGTAAAAAAACCCCTCAAAGGAGAAAGCCGAGAGGCCCCAAATTAAAATCAACCACAATTTCATTTGTTGGGGGACCTTAGGTCGCTGTAATATGATTAGTTAACAACAATATGAAAGAGGAGTCCAGCAGCCCAGCACTTTCTCTTTTGTTTTTGTCTTCTATCTCCTCCCATGAGTCATCTTTTGATGGGGGATTAGCTTGTCCCAATTCACGGTTGAGATGTCAAATTCATGTTGCGACTCTTTTGGCACATGCCCTCTCTCTCTAAAGCAAATTCTCATTTATCTACAAAAGACCCGCTTTGTTGGCTGCCTCTAGCAAAAGTTTAATTTCAGCTTTTGATGAATAAATACACTCCTACTTCTACGTAAACCAATCAAAGGGATTGTGGCAAATTGTTCTTAATTTGTTTTTCTGGTGAAAATAAGTGTTGATACAAAAATCTGCATCAACTAGCGAGATCCGATCGACCTTGTCGGGATCAGAACTGATGTGGGTGTGATTAAAGATAATCAGCAATGAAGGTATAAATATGCAATAAAGTAAAAGATAATGAGAGTTTATAAAGTGGTTCGGCGAAGTAAACTCTAAAGCCTACGTTCACTGTTTTGTATTTGCGGTGAGAGCTTACAATGTAAATTCTATGAACATTTTGTAAACCTTTTTTCATAATTTGAGAGAGTTTATATACAAGATTTGTAGGAAGGAAAGAGCGAAAACAAAAGGATTACAATTGATCTGAAATGTAATTCCGATATTCTCGTGATTGGGCGCTGGGATTGCGCAAAAATTACTGTTGATTTAATCTTTTTCGCAATATCTGGGATCTGAGATAATTCGGGAATTGATTGAATGATTGCTCGGATTATTCACGACTAGCTTCTACTGGGTTGAGCTACAGCTCGACAAGCTTATGCTGAGTTGATCAAACATCGTTGCCAAGCTAGTTCTAGGTCGAGCTATATCCTCATGATAGCCCAAGCTTGGCAGAAAAATCACACACAAGATCTGCCCCCTAGTGTTCGATGCTCGTTTCGAGCTTCAAGACTATTGCTCGATTTGATGTCAAGCTCAGTCTTATCAACAGGCCTCCGAGTATAGGTTCGATCGAGCTTCAAGGGTCGACCTTATGTCTGGTCGACGTACTCCACACTTGGGTCTTTATTTCCTGCAATGCCTGACAAACTCAAAATATAAAAAGTTAGGGCAAACATATAATTTATGTGTGGTCATGTCGCATTAAATGCGGCAACCTTTGTCAGTCACGTTTCGTGGTGCGGCAACGGTTATCAGTGTAGCAGTCTGACGGTTTGTTGCCCCTAGCGGATAGTCGACACATGGCCACATCTAAAGACTGAGGTTGCTCAACGAATGAAGGGTCAAGATTCAATGCAACTCGACGGCTGCGATTAAACCCCATTCTTTCGTCTCCCATGCAAGCTACTATAAAAGGTGGCGAAGTCGTCAGAATCCTTATTCAATTCACGAAAGTTCTCTGGCGTTCTTGTGCATTATGCTACTGTTTTATTGTTATTGCGACACTCTTTCCGGCGAGTTTATTAAAAGGAAGTCGAGAGGATGAAGGTCGAAACTCAGGGAATGGCCTACGTGTATTCGGATGACTCCGAGGATGATGACGAGGGCTAGGGAGAAGTTGAGGAAGGCGAAGAGGAGATCGGGCTCAAGTTGGAAGTTGAGGATCCGGTTCCCCTAACCACACTTCCCCCGAGAGAGGCTCTCAACCTTGGAGATAGTGCTATCGTCCCTTTTGTCGTGGAACTGTCTCTTTCCCTTGATGGGGAGCTCCTTGGATCAGTCGAGGATTACCCCTCTGCTCCTCCAACAACCTAAGAGATTGTTTACTTTTTTTTCTTTTTTCTTTTTTTTTGAAACAATGTAATTGAACCTAATCAATATAAGAAAATTTTTCAACATTTCCTTTTCGAGCAATGGCTATTATATTTCTGCGGAGTCATTTCATTTGTCCTAGTTGGACTTGTAATATAAGATCCGAATTTGCTATAAGTCATGCGTAGCTCGCTTCTCGAGGAACTTTTTCGGATTTATGCGAGGAAATTTTATGTGCCGATTAACTTGGATTTCGAACTTATCGTTCTTTTCGAGTTTTTGGTTGTTGGCTTGAGGTTGATTTCCTTTGATGTGTTTTTTCCTTGAATTTTTTCAAGTTTAACTTCGTCGATTTAGGATTTTCCATCTTGATTTATGCGAGAAAATCTTATGCGATGAGTAACTTCGATTTTTGGACTTATCGTCCTTTTCAAGTTTTGATCACTAGCTTAGGGCCGATTTCCTTCGACGTGTTTTTTTTTTGAATTTTTTTAAGTTCAACTTCATCGATTTAGGATATTTCATCCTTAAAGAGTTGGATTTTGGCGTGGCTTTTTTGAGATAAGCTGCCTTTCCGAGACTCTTGACTTCGAGTTCTCTTTTGAAATATCATCGCTGAGGTCGCGATTTACAGGTCGGTAAATAAATGCTAATGGATTAAAGACATTAACTACGAACAAAGAAAATCATGAATAATACCTCTTTTATTGATCAAACGCTTTGGCCGCGAGTGGTCTTACAACGAATAAAGAACAGAGAAATAAGTGAAACCCGAGCTGCTTATTGGTAATACCTTCGCAAGTGCTTGGCGTTCCAAGCTCACATTATTGCTTCGCCGTTGAGGTGTTCCAGGTGGAAAGATCCTGGCGCTAGCTTCTCGGAGATCCTGAAAAGACCTTCCCATTTAGGTCTAAGTGCCCCCAAGTTTGGGTTTTGGATACTCTGGACGACTTTCTTGAGAACCAGATCGCCCACTTCAAAGTCTTTATTTTTTACTTTGGTATTGAAGTATCGTTTGACTCGCTGTTGATATGAGACGAGTCTTAGCTGAGACTTGGCCCGGTGTTCTTTGATTAGGTTTACACTCAGGTGGAGAAGATCTTTGTTTGTTTCGTCGTCGAAAACTTCTCTTCAGAATGAGCTTATCCCCACTTTAACCAGGACCATTGCTTCACACCCGTATGATAGAGATAACGGGGTTTCACCTATCAAACTCTTGGTTGTCATCCTATAGGACCACAAAGCTTTGGGCAGTTCATCGGCCCACCTCCCCTTCAAGGTGTCGAGCTTTTTCTTAATAGTGTGCTTGATAACCTTGTTCACAGCCTCCACTTGTCATTTGGCTTGAGGTCGATAAATAGCGGTGAAACTCCTCTTGATGCTAAGCTGCTTGCAGAAGGTCCTGAAGTCTTCACTGTCGAACTATTTCCCTTTGTCGGTTATTATTGTGTTGGGAATCCCAAACCGAAAAATAATGTTTTTATAGACGAAGTCCTTCAGCTTGTTCGACGTTATTGTTGCCAAGGGCTCGACCTCTTCCCACTTGGTGAAGTAGTCAACGGCAACTACTGCGAACTTAACGGCCCCTTTTCCTTGAGGCAAAGGGCCGATAAGGTCGATGCTGTTAGAGTAGATGCCCTAGAGTCAATCAATTATTATAGAATTGACTCTTTGTAATAATGTTCATTAATCAATAAAAGACATTTTATTCTATATCGCGTAAATCATTATTATTGCAATATGTATTGATATATGTCCTTAGAATGGTAGAACTGTGACGAGGGTATCAAGTGTTTCAAATCTTAATAGTGAGAACCCAATGAGCACATATGGTGGCCCATTCTAGAAACGTCCGTAGCCCCAGTATTATACTGAAGTAAGGGTACAGATAATACGGTAAGGCTATCATAGTGTTGAACGACCCTGTTGAAAGGCAGTGACTGATCTCACTTGTCAAGGTTGTTTAGTGACAACCTGGTGCAACATATGGGTGCTTGCTGTAGGCGAATGCACCGCAGCAAGTTTACTGGACAGACCCACCAGAGGATTCCATATGGATGGTAACCCTAGTGTCTATGGAACAAATCCTCTAACGAATGGTGGTGCATGTGATCCTTAGACTTGAGATCACCGGAGCGCCTTGTGCACCGATTGGTGTATTTTGACACTAGCCTAACGCAATTCTTTTCAAAGCTGTCAATACGGTGGTGATTAGCTGCATCAATGAGTGTATCAAGACTATGGTGGATTGACAAAGTATTCATCACTCTCGGGTACGGGAGAAGTTATCTCACGGCACAATTCAGTATATGGTAATGACACTAAAACTATGGCCACAATGGGATTG